CTTACAGTATTGCATTTCTAATTTTCTTAATATTTAAATGCTCGAATATATTACCAAATGCTATAAAAGAGAGAGTTTGAGTTTCACCCCTGTTTACCCCATGCTCCCTCATCCTTCCTCCTTGTGACCCCTGGAGTAAAAAAAAAACTAAAACAAAAAATAATGTAAGTAGTTGTGTATCAATTAATTTCTTTAATATGCCCTTTGTTGGCAGGAGAGTGTTCTTATTCCCATATTTAAGAATAAGGTTGATTTACAAGAATGTGTCAACTACTGTGAGTCATAACATGAAACTTTGAGAACTAGTGATGGACTCAGGTCCGGGTCCGGGTCGGGCCTAGGCCCGGGCGGGCCGGTGGGTCAGAAATGGTGGACCCGGGACCGGCCCGGGTAACCACCGGGTCCGGGCCGGGCCCATTATAATTTTTTTTTTGTTTTCCTCTTCCTAATTAACCCCCCTCCCACCCCCAACCCCCAAACCACCCCAAATGGCCCAAAATACCCAGCCCAACCCAAAAATTTTAAAAAAAATTGAAAAAAAAATAGTTTTTGGGCCGAACCGGGCCCGGCCGGGTCGGGCCTTGTTTTGGGTGACCCGAGCCCGGACCGGAAAACCCACGGGCCGGGCCTACCCAGACCGGTCACTGACCGGGCCATCGGGTCGGGCCGGGCCGGGCCGGAACAGTACCGGTCCCGGGCTGGTTCCGGGTCGGGCCACCCGGCCCGAGTCCATCACTATTGAGAACGAATGATTGAGCATAGGCTTCAAAGAAGTGTGAAGATCTCAGAGAATCAATTTGATTTCATGTTTGGTTGTTCAACAATTAATGTCATTCATTTCTTAGACAACTTATGGAAAATATAGAGACACTAACCAAGATTTGCATTTGGTGTTCATTAACTTAGAAAAAACATATGATAGAGAGAAAAAACATATGATAGAGACAGAGTAACTCGAGAAGTCCTTTGATAGATCTTAACTAGAAAAGACATATTACGTAAATATGTCAACATCATTATGAATATGTATGAGGATTGTATTACAAGTGTTCATACTAGTGTAGGGAAGAATGTTAATTTCTCTATTACTAGTGGGTGCACCAATGATTAGATTTGAGTTTTTTCTTAGTTTTTATAGTCATGAGATGAACATAAGAAATCAATTCAAGATGATATACTTGATACATGATGTTTGCTGACAAAATTTTATTGATTGATGAGACATAATTGAGTGTTAAAGCAAAGTTGGAAGTATGACAACCAATATTGGAAATTAAGGGTTTTAGACTTATTCGGAACAAGACTGGGTATATGTCGTGCAAGTTTGGTGGACGTAGAAGTTCTAGTAACAGTGGGAATGTGGGATTACCCTAGATGGGAGGAGATATCAATTAATGATATGTTTTGTTATTTGGGCTCCATAGTTCAGGACGGTGAACTAGATGTAGAGTCGTTAGGGTTGGACTCGGGCCGGGCCTAGGCCCGGTCGGGCCTAGGCCCGGTCGGGCCGGCGGTTCTATATAGCTGGACCCGGGACCGGCCCGGGTAGCCACCGGGTCCGGTCCGGGCCGGGCCTCGGGTTTGGTTAATTTTTTTTTTGCTTAGCTACCCATCCCTGACCCCCCCCCCCCCTCACCCCCCACCCCCCAAACCCCTCCTAAACATCAAGCCCAACCCGGTGGAGCCCAAACAAATGAAAAAAACCAAAAAAAAATAAATTTGGCCCGAACCGGGCCCGGGCCCGGCCGGGCCGGGCCTTGTTATGGGTGACCCGAGCCCGGACCGGAAACCCACCGGGTCGGGCCTACCCGGACCGGTCACTGACCGGGCCACCGGTTCGGGCCGGGCCGGAACAGTACCGGTCCCGGGCCGGTTCCGGGTCGGGCCACCCGGCCCGAGTCCAACCCTAAGAGTCGTAGACTGGACTGAATATGGTGGTCGGTGGCTAAAATGGAAGAGTTTGTCAGTAATTCTATGTGATTGAGGTATGATATTATGTCAACTAGACTGAAGGGTAACATTTATCAAAAAAAAAAAAACAATTATAGGTATGTACTGTTGTATTTCGTAGATAGTTCGATGGTGAAACAATGCCACATTCATAAGATGCGTGTGATAGAGATGTGACTGAGTTAAATTTGCAAGTGTACAAGTGCCGATATAGTAATAAATTCCGGTAGAATATCGGGTCGAATCCACAGGAAACGTTGTTTAATTTAAGTACGAGAATATAAAACTATAATTATGGGAATGAGTAAAATGCAGGGATTTTGATTTATATTTTGTTGTGAGAACAATAACTTGGCTTTTTAATTCTAGGATTATGACTTTGGATAAATTGAGTTTCAAATTCTTTATAACAACTAAGGTTTTGGGATAAATTGATTCAAGTTCTTCACCAGCAATTATGGACATGATCTCGTTAATATATTTCCAACTCCGGTTAAGGCAGCGGGAGCGTGGTTTTTGTCACGTGTAAATTCCGACCATCGTTGCTGGCGTAGAAGGCAGAGGCGCCAACAATGGGAGAGAAATGGCGCAGATCTGAAATAGAGAGTAGTGTAGGTGTTCCAAAAGAGTTAGTTTGAATTAATTATAAGAAGGATATTTTAGGGAATAACAAATATAAAATCCTATTTATGAAATTTGGCAATATTTTGATCCTATTTAGAGCAAGTTCTTCAATCCCTTCTTTTCATAAGGAAACCAAATTGGTGGAAATCTGCTTCTCATCATTATGTGGGAAATTTGGGTGCATTACCCGGGTCTTAAATTTCATGGGAACTCAATATATAGCAATAAAATTTTCTTCTAGATTGGGAAACTGTCGATGCCATGATTCGGAAATGGAAGATCATTCATCTAAATGCTGAAGACTGGAAGTCTGGAAGGCTATATTTCATTACTGTGGTGCCCTTCCTTTCAGTTTTCTTGCTGATGGAATCATTAAGATTAAGATTGCCAGTTACCACTAATGAGGTTGGAGCCTTGGACGTAAGTAGGTAACAAACAGCATATCAAGAGTGCTGTTAACATTCAAAACTCCTACGGCGCTTTGTAACACTCATCTCAGGTTGAAATCTTTATATATGCTGCTATCCATATTATCCAATGACTTATATCCACTTTTGATCCCATGAATTTTATGTCAATCTTACATTTTTGAAAATAAAAACTTATAAGTATTAAATAATTGAATAAAAAATCCCAACATCATCAATAAACCAAGCCTCCCCTCTAGACGTTGTATAGCCAATAGGCCCACTGACTCCCTGATCAGACATAGAATAGATCATCCAAAGATGAGACAGACTAATCGTTGAACATGCGAGAACTGCGAAAAACATGCGAAACTATCAGCAGATTAACCTGATTGCTTCCGCTCATTCTCACAACAAAAAACACTCGCAACTCGCAATTATTAGTCGAATAAAAAAGTACAGCAGAAAAAAAAATAAAATGATGAAAAATATAGCACAAGAGCACAGGTGACCAAATCCAATGATGAAAATCGACCTCTGTCCCTTGGTTCCGCGGTCGCTTCAAGGTGGTGGTTCAGGAGGGGTGGACCATCAATACTTCATCTTCCTTGTTCATCTCATCATCTCTTCCCTTCTTGGACCTTTTTGTGTCCCTTACATCTCTACCCTTGTTTTTGCCTACCAAGAATTAATATTCTTCTATTGATGCCATCATCACCTGCCCCCAATCGAAGCCCATGTGCCTTAACCGTGCAATAAGGCCTTAAGATGCAACCTCTTCCTATCCCCTTGCCCGCTGATGGAGTCACAAACTGCCAAACCAGATGATAAAGTCACTGCTGGAAGTCTGGAACCTATGAAAACCTAGGTTAAGCCTATGAATGGATCCGGGCCGGGCCTTTTTTTGGGAATGGATGAACCGGAACCGGCCCGGGTAGGCGACGGTTTCGGGCCGGGTCGGTTCCGATTCAATTTTTTTTGATTTCTTATTTATTTCACCCCCAGCCCCCCAAACCCCTCAGAAATATCCAACCCAGACCAACTAAACCCAGACCAAACCCAAAAAAACAAAAAAAAAACAAAAAAAGGCCCGAATCGAGCCCGACCCGGCCGGTTCACTAAATTGAATGCCCGTACCCGACCCGCCCCGCCCCAATCTCCAGGCCAGGCCTAGGCCCGAAACCAGTTACCCAAGACAAGGCCAGTCCAGGCCTGTTCCTTCCCTAGTTAAACCTAGGTGTTGTACACTTGCTATAAAAAAAACGAATAGTGCTCATCTTTGCCATTTCAACAGTCTTTCACTTTGTCCATTTTTGTTATTTGATTAATACTTCTTGACCATTTGTGGTCCTTCCGTTTGATTTTCTGACTCTTCTAAAACAATTTTAACAATCGAAAATATCAACAAAAAGATCATAAAGACGCAAAGCAATAGTAATGTCAAAGACTTGCACCAATGGGTCAGTCTAACTAATGGGATTTTGAATACAACTCCATTATCATGAATATCTTTAAAATGATCATAAAGACACACAACTCCCGATGTGACCAAACTGGCCTTTTCCAAGACTCATCCCTATGGATGGACTCGGGCCGGGTTAACTGGCCCATAACCGGACCAAACCAGTACTATTACGGCCCAGCCAGGTACCCGGTCATGTGCCTGGTTCAGGCCACCCGGCCCAGCACTGTAGAGGGGCAGTTCCCGGGCCTCCCAAATGATGAACCGGCCGGGCCGGTTCAGGCCCAGTCCGGGCCATTTTTTTTCGAATTTTTTAAAAGGTAACTGGGTTGGGCTGGGTGTTTTTGAGGGGTTTGGGGTGTGGGGGTGGGGTGTAGGAAGTAATTAGAAAACAAAAAAATAGGTACCCAACCCGAAACCGGCCCGGCCGGGTGGCCTAGCCCGAATCGGGTAGCTTCTCGGGCCGGTTCCCGAGTCCATTAATAAAAAATGGTAAGGACTGCGTAGACGCCGTAGAGCCGTAGACATTACCCCACCCAAGTTCGGGAACCTTCTGGGTTAAAAAAAGGCGGCATCAAAACAATGCAATCAAAGATGGGATTATGTTTCAAAAAACTACCACAAAGGTGCATGAAATTAAACCACAAAATTATTGACAAAGGTAAAGTCAACTGGGAGGCTTGGTGGTGTATTATACCAAAATGAAAGTTACAAATGGGGAAAAATCAAGCAGAATATAGTGAGCTTTGACAAAGGTAAAGCCTGATACAATCATCAAATAGCCTTCCTGATGGATGACCAAAAGAGATATTTGACCTGGTAAAAATAGCATTATTAGTTATTACTATTGTGACTTGATAACTGTTGTATGTTAAACCAGAAAACACCAGTGGTAATGTAAACTTACCTCAATATTCACTACATATGTGTATATATAGCTCATGAGAAATTTCAGTTTTTAGACAAGACGTGCCTTCTTCAGGTCATTCATAACACCTCTATCTCCTCTGCTCCTCTCATTGTAAAGAACCTTCACAATATGCACTAAAATATATAAGCAACAGTGTCACATTTAAGTCTTTTCCTAAACAAAATTTATTCTATTGGAAGCACCTTATCAATGATTCCATACTCAACTGCATCACTTGGACTGAAATATTTAGGACGTCTTATGTCCTCTTCAATCTGCTCTGTTGATTTCCCTGTGTGTCTGGAGTAGAGTTTCATCTTCAAAATTTATATGAAAATAAGTGTCGTTTGACCATACCCAGCTATGATTTCAAGAATATAGCAGCATTAAAAGAGAGTGTTTGTTTCGGTAGAAAAAAAAACGATTCGGTTATTGGCGGCGTATCTGTTACAGTGTATTTTTTGTGCTCTTTTTTTAATACCACAAAAAAGTGATTCTCAGTTTTGTAAAATCAACATGATTGGTATAAGGACAACTTTTTCATTCATTATATGATCTACACAATATAAAGTTTAAAATCACAAGTCCAAAACTGAGGGTGATACAGAACAGGCTCCAAGGCTTTTTTAAAAATAAGTTAAAAGTTTACCAACTCCTCCTTCACGGACTTTATTTCTTTCCTCATAATGTTGACATCTGATGCTTGGCCCTGAAACTGACCAATAGGCTGCGGAGACAAGAAAATATATAGGGTTAAGAACACAAAAAGACAACGGGAAATATATGATACGATAAATGAAAAATAATAATAATAATAATAATAATAATAATAATAATAATAATAATAATAATAATAATGACATTAACAATAATAATATAATAACAAAAATTTATAATAATAATAAATCGAAAACCTGTCTGATCATGATTGTAGATGAAGGCAATGCAGCACGGTTTCCATTCGCCCCAGCAGCCAGAAGTAATGCAGCTTCCCCCCAAGCATTGCCTACACATAGGGTGAAAATGGGTGGCTTGACAAACCTGCAAACAAAAATAGTATTTCCTTTTCTGTACAGAATGTTTAAATTAATCAAAAGAATGGGATTTTTATGCATAGTTAATTAATTTGTAGGCAAATTCAAAGAGGCCGTGATCCGTATAGGGTAAAGATTAACAACCCCATGGCATCATATATTGCAAAAGCCTCTGTTTCGTATCCAAACTTCTGATCACCCTGCAAAAAATGTGTTTATTGTTGAAAAAGAAGAGAAGAAGATTTTTCCTTATGTTCAGTCCCAAAATGAATCCCAGTATACACAAACATATGGACTCTTCAACTAACCACCAAGAGAAGCTTGCAGCACTCAATATGAAGAATGTTTTAAACAATAAAAAAGACTCCTGGCCTTTTATATTTATCAACACTTTCCTGAAGCTGCAGCATGCATATTATATGCAACAAATTTGGTACAAATGCAATCAACTCAATTACATCGTAAAGAATTTTGTAAACATATCAGCTAGTTGATAATTTGTGTCCACAGATGTAGTAATCGATCCTAAAAAAATTTTCTTAGAGGTGTAATGTTGATAATTTTGCATCTGTGAGGCAAGGACCTCTAGATGGATTGAGCTGCAAACTGTATACATTAATTCCTTTATGATTCAGAACATGATATCAAGCACACACAGAAAAACGAGTCATAATTAAGTGCCATAAACCACTATAAGTTACTTCGCATTGACGATTTTCCCTCTAGGGTTTTCGCACTCTTGGGCAGGTTCACCCTAGCTCTATTATGTTTTCTCCTTGTTTAGACCAAGGCTCCCAAATCAATTTTGTAATGGATTCCATAACTCTTTCAGCATACAGTCTGGCTTTCTAATGGAACATAACTACATAAGTGTTAAAGTAATATTTTTGGACTCAAATCAATTTTGTAATGGCTTTCTAATGGAACCAAAAAAAAAAAATTATTTTTGGTTTACTCAAAGTAATCAATAAAAAGAACATACAATCTGGCTTTCTAATGGAACATAAGTGTTAAAGTATTTCTCCCACACCGGAAAGTTATAAAACAATAAAACACTATTAAGACTTTGACCTACTCCTCCTATCAGGTTGACCTTTTAGGATGGAACCTCGGGTCTTAACATGGTATCAAAGTCAAGTCCGGTTCCGGTTGTGGTTTGACTGCATGTTTAGCACCCAAATTTAAGGATATCTTGTTAAGGGTCTATTTGTCCCATTTATACACCCCGATATTGTCCAACCTGATTCGGGCTGAGGGGGGTGTTAAAGTATTTCTCCCACACCGGAAAGCTATAAAACAGTAAAACACTATATAAGGCTTTAGGCTACTACTCCTATTAGGTTCACCTTTTAGGATAAAACCCCGGGTCTAAACAACAAGAACAAACAAAATCAGGACCACAACAAAGCAAAAAGAAGAGAACAACATCCAAATCTTAGTCCCAAGAAAATTTGGGATCGGCTTAACATGAATCGATACATGATATCGGAGCCAAGAAAAGAAAGATAAGAGAGATAAACAGATAAGATAAGATAATAAAAATGATAAGATAAAGATAAAGATAAATACTCCCTCCGTCCCATTAGACTTTGCCAACTTTCCCTTTTTTGTTGTCCCAAAAAACTTTGTCACTTTCTTATTAAAATAACTACTTTGTGGTTCTGCACATTTCTCTCTCCTCTGCACAAATTTCAACCACACAGTTTTTACTATTTTTATTTCTCACATACTTTGCATTTGGCAAAGTTCATCGGGACGGAGGTAGTATATGATAAACATAAAAATGATGAGATAAAGAGGATCAAAAGAAAATATACAAAATAAAAGGCATAAAAGGAATAAGAATAAGAAAGATAAAGACTATAAAAAGAAAAAAGAAAAAAGAGAGAGAAAAGAGATCAACCCTCCACCTGAACACTCACCTTCCACTTTGCTCTTTCCAATGTCATACTCTCATCCAACCCAAGAGGAAGCATTTCACTCTTGATTCCTCTAATCCACGTTTGTTTGGGTCTTTCTCTCTCTCTTCTCCCCACCACCTCTTCTCCCCACCTCTCACCCGATTTTCTACGCACATGACCAAATCACCTCAATCGAGACTTATGCATCTTATGTTTTATAGGTGTTACCCACACGTTTTGTCTAATTATCTCATTCATCAAGCGGTCTTTTTTGGTATGTCCGCACATCCAACGCAACATGAGCATCTCTGTCACACTCATCTTTTGAATGTGACATTATTTCACCATCCAACACTCTACCCCAAAAAGTAATGCACGTCTAATTGTTGTCCAATAATATTTACCCTTCAGTCTAGTCGGCATACCTTGATCACATAAAAACCCTAACACACTCTTCCATTTCATCCACCTTGTTCTAATCGTATAGGATACATCTCCATCCAACTCACCGTCCTTCTGAATAATGGATCCCCAGTATTATCCACTTCAATTTAACTTAAAACCTTGTGTCGTTGTTATAGGCCAAACTTATATCCTCCACCAATTTTTTAGAAATAAAATTGTGGGTAGCACTAGAATCAATAAGAATCAGCACTCGCCTGTTATTTCACACCTCTCACTTGTCCCTTGACCTTGAAAGTGTTTTGAGTGTTGACCCCTTCCTTACTAAGGCTATTTAACGGCATAGATTTAAAGGGCCCACTAACTTCCTCCAGAGATGATTCCAGATCTTCAGATTTTTCCACAATTTCCATCATCAGCCGATAATTCTTCATCTTACATACATGTTCCCGGTTCCACTTTTCTCCACATTTAGAACAGTCCCCTTTTTGTTCTATCTTGCAATTCAGCTTGGGAGGGTCTAGGGCCTCCCTTCGACCCTTCCAAGTCTGATTGCTTCCTCGTGAATCTCCAGTTTTACCATATGTTGTATCCTTTTCCACCCTCTTTTATCTATGTCCCTGATCCGGCCACCCTTTAATGCAACATTATTTTCTTCCACTAACAAAGCCTTGCCGATAAGTTCAGTTAGTCCACTAGATTAGTAAAGCTCCAATTCAGCCCTTAGTCCATCCAAGAATACTCTTTTTAACATCGAGGGGGGGAAGGAGGAAGAGGCTCAATATCTAATTTTCGTTTTCTGTTTCAGTACATTCGTATCAATCTACGCTTGTTTTCCCTTTTCCAAATCTGATTCCTATCAGTATATTAGGCTGCTTTAACGGCACTAAAATCTAAATAAAGGTACCAATGGAGGAGACAGAGCCAGCCATAACAGAGTACCCTATAGCAAATAGTCTTATCATTTAAACATTTTCAAAGTACACGTTTTTACAAGTTATGAATGGTCAATTGTGTACCATTAAAACTTATTTACAAGAATGCATGGAGTAATTGACAAAAAACACTTACCGCATTACTTTACCGGATTTACTTAAAAATTTAAGTTGCCTTTTGAAACCACACTCACTTTTTTAAAACAAAAAAAAATCTTAAAACATGACTCATTTTCATTTTTAGACAGAGGGAGTACTCACTGGTCTATATCATTAAGACTTCAAGTGTGAAAAAGTTGTTAGGAAGTAAGGATAACTGAACTGGAGTATGATCAGATTACTCTGCCTTAAGGACACCAACATGATAAGTGAAAGTAATAATTACATATGTTAAAAATTTAAAACATGGAGTGAATCACACACAAAAATGTCAATAAATCGAAAATACCATACCTTAGTTGTCCCAGTGGAATTAATATAAAGGAAAATTGGTTTGTCTGCATCTTCATGCTGAAGGTATAGAAATTCTGCTACTATTAATTCAGTCACGGAAGGAACCAGAGTCATGCCCAAATAAACAATTCGATTCTCAAAAAAGTAAGACGCTAAATCTGGAGGAGGTTGGTCAGAAGCACTTCCCTCTGAGAAAGGAATAACCTGTTTACAAAATGTGGATAATCAATTATTCATACTCCCTACATTAGGCATGTAATATGGAAAATGATAACAAGCCAATCAAACATGGAGCAACAAAGAAATGCATTTATAATCTCCTAAACTTGGCAAGTTAGCCCCATTGAGCCCCTTAACTAATCTTTATCCCCTCCAAAATAACAATTTGAGCAACTTAATTCTGCATTCCTGTCGTGGCTAACATGCCTGATTGTTCACATACCCAGTTGAAACACTACGGCCAAATGAGGCCAATAAACTAAATTGATACTGTTTATTCAAAACCTAATGTGGGTGAAGTTACATGATAATGACAAACTGGATGAAGATAAAAAAGGGGGTTTTACGGTGCTGAACTTTACAAATGTCGTGCTTGATAGATCCGGTTAAAAGTTAAGGGCATTTTATGGCCAACTGGCCATCACGCCAAATATAGGAGCTTAAAAATGTATTTTTCGTAGCAAGAAGTAATAAGAAGAAAATATATGGACCAAATTGGCTCAAATAAGGAAGTAACTACTAAATAAACAAATAGATGTGCAAAAGCATTTCGGGATTACATTTATGAATGGTTCTTTGCAAATCAGAGAACTTTTTTCTCAACAATAAGTAATGTGAAATTGAAAACAATCAGGTAAGCCATGTGTTTCACTTAATCACCCACCAGTTCCTTAATCAAACATATTATACCATTTCTAAGGCCATTTCATATTGTGTTTCACTTATTTACTAACAATTCATTTCTTCTTTCATCGTCAGTGGTTATTTTCCATTTCTATCATAGATAGAAGTCCTGAAGTAACTACACATTGCCAAAAGAGCATCTAAACAGGCATATAATACGTTGTATTCTCCGCAGCAAAAAAAGCAATATGTACTAGCTCAATAAAGCAAAGCTAATCATTGTCAACTGCAATACTAAAAAATCAGAGAAATGACCACTTTTCTCTTTACTCAAACAATTGCACCTTTGCATTAAGAGTGGACAAATAATGTAAGGAAACTGACACATAATTTCATAATAATTGTTCAATCAAGCATAAACGAAAAGGAGAACGTGAACAATACATTAAGCAAGTTTGTGGAGATACCATAGTGACAACGCCGCGTTTAGGGCGGGAGCTGTCAGAAGTCGGGTTAAGGTAATCCGGTCTTACTATCTTATGACCCGAAAAATCGGAACGTAAATTGCCGCCGGCGAAGGGGGAGAGAAAGCTGGTAGACAGAGAAACTTTGGGAGCGTGAGATGAACTCAATGATGCCCGACGTAGTGGCTTGGGTAATGGAAGCATCACTCGGGTCGTCGGCAAGACGTGTGAAGCCATGGCTGCAACCTCCGTGGATGGGAGAGATTGAGAAACGCGATAGTTTCGTGAACCTGTCTAAGAGAATATGGATACCGTGGATCCGGATTGGCACAGTGAACCCCTCATGTATTTTTAAGAAGACAGTGTTCCGGAATTAGAGAAATGCTAGAGTTACAAACTTAGTTGTACACATACACAAAATGTGGTTCACACAGGATTGGTATGAAGTTGTCCGTGTGATCAAGTTTAATTATCGGTGTAATCAATTTTACATTCAAATGAATGGTGTAGTTGTATGTGTAATTAATTTACATTTAATTTGAAAAATAATAAAAATAAATGAAATAAGATGAATAAGCTGATTTTGTGTAAATAATGAAAAAAATGATGTAAAATGTAGAGAAAAAGATGATGAAGAAGGAAAGAGGAGCATGAAAAAGATAAGATGATCATCCCAATTTTTTTTGAGAATTTTAAAAGATTGGGTAAAGAGGAAAGAGAGAAGGGAGAGAGGGGAAAAGAGAAGGGAGAGAATGAGAGAGAAGAGGGAGGGGGAAATGAGAATTTTTTTTGCTTTTATACCTTGTACAACTTGTGTGCATGGTGTGTACACTAAACATTTTTCAACCGGAAAAGAGTCTCTAAAGTGTATTTCAGAGTGACAAATCACCGGTAAATAATGAATCATTAGAAACTAGTCACTGAATATGTCACTTTTTCAGAAAGTTTTAAAATAAGTCACACTTTTTATAAAATTTAATTTAGTAGTATTCATGAAAAAAGGTGAATGAATAGACAAAAAAATGTTCCTTCAATCTTAGTTTAAACTTCTAATTAACTTGACTCTTTTGAATCTTCGAGTTAAAGTTTTACATTTCTATTTTGGAAAATAAATAACACTCTTAAATAACAAATTAATTATCAAATATTATAAATAATACACTTATAACATCACATGTATCAAATGACCTCATTATGATATATATATTTATCAAAAAAATTACCTTATGTAACTATTGTCTAAATAATCATGTTATTTTCATCGAAAAGCTTAAGTTGGGACACTGGTAGTAACATTTTTTTAGTTTTCCGAAATGTGATTAATGAGTGTTAAATATGGAAAAGTTTATACTTATTGTACTAAAATACACTCCCAAGCTTATTGTACTAAAATACCTAACAAGTCTAGTGAAATCGTCCTCGATACTGACATGGTGACAACCATCCCAGCTAGTGATAATGGTCTCGGTACCCTGTGATTTCCGGCACCCAGTCGACACTGAGGGTCCTCACTCCTCAGTGACCCTCGGTGTCCTAGTGACCTTCGAATGCCCCAGTGAATGTTACACCACCATTACCCCCAACCCCAACCATTACATTAACCCCACCTCGCCCCCACTTCCTTAATCCCCTCCCCTTCCCCGTCACTTCCTGTTACTGCACAAGTCTCTTCCCATCATTGTTGCACCAACCTCCTGCCCTTGTGCCCCCTTGCTTTATCACTACCCCTCTCCAAAACCTCTTCCCTCGCCCCTGCACGCCCCATGGCCCTACGCCTGCACCCACATCAAATATAAAAACGCTTGAAAAGGATAAACATACATCAAGATATGATTAAATCAAATACTTAGCCTATTTTGTGTAATATAGCGTTTCAGAGTAAATAAAGCATATTTAACGTAAAAACAATATTGGATTCAAAATTCGGTTCATTAGTTAACCACCCCGTAATATTTTGAAAATGAAGCTAGAATATGAGTTTTAAAAGTCGATAGGATCTTTCCAACGAGATACAAACCGCTTAAAACAGGACGAAATATAGCAAGATATGTTCAAATCAAATACTACACAAGTTCGGAGTGAAATCGAAAATGTTTATGAATTTCAAGTTAATATGTACCTATTCTTTAATGCATTGTAAATGAAATCGAAGCGCAACTTTTAACACTCAAAATGATCTTTCTATTGAGATATAAAATGCTTGAAACGGAATGAAATGCAACAAGATATGTTCAAATCAAATACTACATGAGTTCGGAGTGAAATCAGAAATGTTTATGAATACCGGGTTAATTTATACCTATTCTTTAATACATTGTAAATGAAATCGAAACACTAGTTGTAGAACTCAAACGATCTGTCCATCGAGATATAAAACACTTGAAATATAAGAACATACTTCAAGATATGGTCAAAACAAATACGTAGCCTATTTTCTGCAATATAGTGTTTTTCAGAGTAAATAGAGCATATCTAACATTAAAAAATCTTGGATTTGAAATTCAGTTCATTAAATAATCATCCCTTAATATTTTGAAAACGAAACTGAATATGAGTTTTGGAAATCGATAAGATCTTTCGAAAGAGGTATAAAAATCGCTTGAAACTGAACGAAATGCAGCAAGATATGTATGTTCAAATCAAATACTACACAAGTTCGGAGTGAAATCGGAAATGTTTATGAATTTCAGGTTAATCTATACTTATTCTTTGATACAGTGTAAATGGAGTTGAAACAGTAGTTTTAGAAATCAAAACGATATGTCCGTGGAGATATACCCTTGAAATATAAGAACATACTTCAAGATATGACCAAATCAAATACTTAGCTTGTTTTCTGTAATATTTTGAAAACGAAGCTTGAATAAGAGTTTTACAACTCGCTAAGTTTTTCGAACGAGATAAAAAAGATTGAAATGGAACGAAATACAACAATATATGTTCAAATCAAATACTACAGGAGTTCGGAGTGAAATCGAATATGTTTATGAATTTCAAGTTAATGTGTACCTATTATTTATTACATTGTAAATGAAATCGAAACACTAGTTTTAGAGCTCAAAAACATCTTTCCACCGAGATATAAAATGTTTGAAACAGAAAAACATAAATCAAGATATGATCAAATCAATTGAAATTCCTTCAAAAAAATCAATTGCTAATGTAATTTTTTACTGTTAGCTTTATTTCTCTTGTTACTTTCAATTTCATCAAATGTACTTTCAACTTTATTATTTTAATAAATTCGGGAGGTGTCCCCCGACACCCCCACCCTCACCCCGTGTGGTTTGAACCGAAAAAAAGATCAAATCAAATACTTAACTTGTTTTTTGTAATATAGCGTTTTCAGAGTAAACAAAGCATAATGATGGGAGATTGATTAACACGCCAGATTACGTGGCCGGTCAACGGACCATTTTTCAAAATGATGCGACACAAACCTAAAAGAGATGGTGGGTTGGGACCTTGGGCTAACCCAACGCAAACCATAGGTTTCTAGCCTGTTGGGCGCACGGCTGTAGGACCTGCTACGTACGTGTGTAGCTTGGACGCCTCAGATGGGCTGTTGGATTCGATGTTGGCCTAACGATAAATCTTGATTGATTTGGACTTGGGACCTTTTTGGGATGCACTTGGCTACTTGTTGGATGCTTGTCTTGCGAGTTGCTGGGCCGCTGGAGCTTTGGGAGACAGAGGATGGGCCATAACGTATTGGCTTGGAGCCCATGGAACTTGGTCGATGGCGAGCAGTTTACTTGGATTTTTATTTGATGTATACGAACTTTTTTTGGATACTAAGCTTTGGGCCTGTCTCGTGCTAGTTGAGATTTATTTTGTTGGACCTTTAACATCTCTCTCCCTTGCCCCCTGCCGATGATGAGGGATGAGGGGATGGTGGATACTATTCTAGGTTAGCTAGCTAGCTTAGATAGTTTTGCTTTGATTTCTTAGACACATGTACTTGTTATCTTTTTCAGGATGTTTTATACACTTACATTCATCCAAAAAGCACTGAAATCGAAGCCTGAATACGAGTTTTAGAACTTGATAAGATCTTTCCAATGAGATATAAAACAATTAAAACAAAACGAAATACAACAAGATATGTTCAAATAAAATACTACACGAGTTCGGAGTGAAATCGGAAATGTTTATAAATTTCAGGTTAATTTGTACATATTCTTCAATACATTGTAAATGAAATTGAAACACAAGTTTCAGAACTCGATAAGATCTTTCCAACGAGATATAAAAAACTTGAAATAGAATGAAAAACAACAAGATATGTTCAAATAAATCAGAGAAGTGCTTAGTGTACACACCCCTTTACACATTTGTCTACACATTATAAATAATTTGTTTTTACCAAATTTTACCCCCCTCCCTCCCTCCCACACCACATCACACCACACCTTCTTCTCTTTTCTCCCTCTCTTCTTTTTTCTTCTTCCTTGGTAGACATCACCCTCTTCACTCTCCTATTACAAAGGTCCATTTTTCCATTGTTTAGGAATGGATTCCATAACACCACCAGCTGGAGAAGATTGGTATGAAGAGTTGATGAAAACGAAGACGACAAACGGAGATGGTAATACAACTTCAAACAATGGGGAACGATTGAACATGAACATGGACGCCATGGATGATTTAGGTAGCTGTTTAGAAGGTGCTTATTGTGTGTTCTCTTTATTTTTGTATTTTTTTTTGGGGGGGGGGGGACTTCTTCTTCTTGCAGTTCCTGTGTACACATCCGACTTAAAATTATTGTGTACACAGACAATTAATATACACAGACAACTTATATCTGTATACTGACATTTAGTGTGTAAAAGGTGTTTATGGTGTTTTTGTATCAATGTGAACACAAAGACGATTTCGTAACGCAATCCATGTGTACATGCATGACTTATTTACAAATTAGCATATAAAGATATCTTAAAAGATGTATTATAGATAGATATTAGCATATTAAGACAACTAATTAATGTCTGTGTGCAGACAAATATTGTCTGTATACAGACAAGTACTATATGTGTGTTGTATGTGTTTAGAGACACAACAATGTAAATATGAGTATTGTGTAACAAATGGACAAGGAGATAACAACAATGTTAAAGCTCAAACTTCAATGCAATCACAATGCTTAGCACGAATTAGAGTACGTTTTGATTTTGTCGGGTCGTGAGAAATTTCAAAAGTTCTTCTATCCCCTTTGCCATTTTGTCCACAGCTTCAAGCCTCAATCCAAGCTTATTAATTTCATCAATAACTTCCTTAGAGAATGGCTCATAATCTTCATCAATATCCTGCGGCAAGGTTAAGAATATAAAACAAACAATGAGTAAATTCACGTATAAAGACAAATGGGCGGTGAGTAAATTCTTGTACAAAGACCAATGGACAGTGAATAAATTCTTGTAT